AGGCGGGTGTTTCTCACCTTTATTTCATGGAAACACGCAGTGAGTGAGTGAGCGAGCAACAGGCGGCTGCGGCGGAGGGGGCCGGGGTGGAGGGCTGAGGCCGGGGGCCTGGCTGAGGCACGGCCTGGCCTCGGCAGCCCGTTTGTGAGGAGAAAAATAGCAAAAATAACCCAAATAACCCTCCCGGCAGCTGCGGGGAGTGAAGCCACCTCTGCCACCGCCACTGCGGGGGCTCGGGGTCACCCTAACCATTCCCCCCTGGGGCTGCGTGCGGCTGTTGCTTCCTCCGGGCGGCACGTTTCATCCCCACATCATCGCCATTTGTTTTATTTAGAAAATAAACCTTCTCTCCTCATCCCGCCGGAAGATGGGGAGCGGCCTGGGTCCCCTTAAAGCGCTGCGCTGGGAAGGGAGGGAGGGAGAGGAGGTTCGTGTGCTTTCACTGGGGCTTTGGGAGCTGCGGTACAGAGCCCCCCCGTCTTCCCCGGGGGGACAGGATTCCTGCGCCCACCCAGGGAGACTCACTGCCCCGCGGGGGGGGGGATTCGCCCCCCAAAATGTGTCCCGCTGTCAGGGTGGGCATCGCCGTGCCAGGGAGGGCTCGGGCGGACGAGCCGGTAAAGTCGTCCAGATCTCTTCTCGTCTCTCGTAACCGGAGCGCCAGGTGGATTATTTCCATCTTTCTTTTAACCTCTGGTTTCGTCTGAAATAGTAGGAAAAAAAAAAGTCCCCCCCACCTCTGCGGGGCGGAGCGGGCGAGTCCCGGGTTCTAGATCACGTTCTCGAAGATCTGCATGGAGCTCATGATGTCCTCGTCCTGGATGGGGCGGGAAGGAGAGGTCAGAGCCCCTGGTGTCCCCCCGGTCCCCTCCCGTCGTGACTGGAGTTGTTGTCCCCTATCTCTCCTGCCCCCCGTCGCCCCAGCGCATCATTTTGGGACAAGAGGTGGAACAGGGGTCATGTCTCGGGCTCGGAGGCCTGGCAGTGAAAAGGAGGAGGATGGCGGTGATGCTGAATGTCCCCCCCCAACCCCACTGGAGCTGCTCACCTTCTGGCATGTCTCCAGGAATTCCTCGAAGGTCACCACGCCGTCACCGTTCCTGTCCATCTTCTGCAAGGCAACAGCAGGGGCTCAGCGAGGACGTCCCCCAGCCCCGGCGGCGGTGACAGCCCCGGCGGCAGTGACAGCCCCGCTGTGTGTGGGGGGGGGTGGGTGTTTGGTGGCCGCTAGGAGGGGACCAAGGTGGGACGGTGTCACCTGGAAGAAGAGCTCCACGTGCTCGGCGGGCGCGCTGTCCCTCAGGGTGGGGTGGGGGCAGCGCCCCATCATGTCATAGATGGACTTCATGATCTCCAGCATTTCCTAGGAGGGGACAGAGAGGGGACAGGCTGACAAGAACCCTCTGAACCGGGACACCTTCCCCCCCCCAGCACCCATTTCCACCGTCACCGTCCCTCTCTGGGTGTGTCCCCCCCTTCCCCGTGTCACCTCCTTGGTGATGTAGCCGTCTTTATTAATATCATAGAGGTTGAAAGCCCACTTCAGCTTCTGCTGCACCGTCCCCCGCAGCAAGACGGAGAGACCGATGACAAAATCCTGCCGGAAGAACCGCAGCCGTGAGCAGGGACGTGCCACGGGCACCTCCGGCACCCTGGGGGATGGACCCATGTGCCCCCCACCCCGGCTCAGCCATTCGCCCCCCCTCCAACGGCGCGACGGCGCTGCCATTGATCGCGGGACACCCAGGGGGATTTTGTTCTTATTGATCCCGTTTCTATTCTTGCTCGCAGCTATTTTTAATCACCCCGGTAAAAACGGCGCCGGCCCCCTCCTCCCCGTGCCGCAGTGCCTGGAACGATCCCGGCACAGGCCCCTGCCGTCGAGGAGACCGAAGATATTTGGCTGTTGCCGCTGCACAGAGCTTTTATCCCCCACCACACACGGGCAAGGAGGAAGATCTGATGAATCACGCCGCTGGGCACGCTTACAGCTGCCGGCGGCAGCACGAGGAGCGCGGCGCTGGCACGGCTTTGCCGACACCGGGGAGGAGGGAGGAGAATCTGGGCACGGAAGCGGCGCCGGGATGCAAACCTGGAAGCAGAGAGCTCCGTTGCGGTCGGCGTCGAAGGCGTCGAACAAGAAATGCGCGTAGGTGCTGGCGTCTGCGAGGGGAGGAAGGCGAGAGCCGGTGAAACCCGCATGCTGGGATCGGGATTTTGGTGTTTTCTCCAGATTCCGGCCCCTCCCAGGCCTCGGGGAGGTCCCCGACTCACCGCCTTGGGGGAAGAACTGCGCGTAGATGAGCTTGAAGGTCTCCTCATCCACAAGGCCGCTGGGACACTCCTGGGGAGGAGAGCAGGCGCCCGGTGAACCCCGGCTCTGCCGAAATCCGCCCCCCTTCCCCAGTGCTGGTGGTGGGGGGCCGCGGTG